AATATTTTTGTTTTCTTTTTCATTTTTCATTTATAATTTTTTTATACCTTGAGCTAGAGTGAAGAACATGGAACTCAATGCATTAAGCTAAATACCTTGAGCTCGGTACCTTAAGCTCAATGCATATCAGTACCTTAAGCTCAATGCATCTCGGTACCTTAAGCTTGTTTCCTCAAGCTTGGAGCCTTTAACATTATGTCTCAAGCCGAGTACCCTGAGATGGTTGTCTTCGAGTAGGGTGAGTTAAAATAAGCCTAGCTTCCAACCTTACTTTCTCACAGTTGCCTTGGGGTTCGGACTCTGGCTCTCAGAGAAAACTTTACTTTCTTTTCCTTACTGAGCATGAATGTAAAGAGAGCATGTGAGAAAGAGTTTATGTATTAATCTTAGAAATTTAATGAAAATCTTAGTGGATGTAGGTCATATTAGGCCGAACCACTCTAAATTTTTGTGCTCTATTTTTACCTTGTTCTTTATTTGATTAGTTGGTGGTGTTTTGATCTGTTCGAATCAGATCTCAATCTAGAGATTTGATTCTCTCAATGTCGGTCATTTTTCACCCTCAAGAACTGTAACTGAGATATTGTTGTACATATAATTTTGGTGAAGGGTGCATTGGTTAAATCAAAGTTGTTTTTGAATTTTTTTCAAGTTTTCCAGCAGTCATATGACGTCATTGTATCTGGTAAGTTATCAATTGTATCTAAACACACTCTATACAGTAACCCAATTGTTTTTTTGATTATGCAGTGAATGTTTCTGAATTAAAAAATGCATAATTGTAAGTGCGAAATTGGATTAAGACGATTTTTTCCCTAATTAATGCGATGATTGCGGAAAACCAAACGAAATACGATCCATATGTGCTACATTATTTTTTCTTTTCTGTTTGAATTTTTTTTTTTCCCATTTTCTACTGCCCTTAAGATGTGCAAACGCCAATGTGATTCGAAGTTTTCCCACCATAACTTTGTGTTTATAAATGCGTACTGCATAGCATAGCAACATTGAAGAATAATTGTTGAAAGACTATTATAAGCATGCAAGTTTAATTTGAAATGAAATGTTAAAAGCATTTTCACAGTTCGAATCACAATTTAACCTTTTTGTAACAATATTTTATCGTATGAAAATTTAAATTTTAGTTCAAGTTTTCACTTGAAATCACATAAAGAACAAGCCAAAATATTAGTTTATAGCCCAAAACAATGGCACTAAATCCTACAAGATTAAATAAGATATTAAAACTAATCATCACCAAATGAAAAAAAAATTCATTGGCTATGTGTAGGTAAGCATTTTCGTAAAAACTGTTTATCTTGTGGGTCAAACCAACTACAAGTCCCGCACAAGTATCTTGTTGGTCTTCGACTACAGGAGTGTAACATTCTACATCGGAGCGACTGAGTTGCTTGGACATTCTAGGTATCCTGTGAAGGTTGATTGTTCTTTGTAGAAGCGGAGATCCCCTAATCGCACATCACAATTAGGTTATTTTACATGGATGATTCTTACAAACAAATGGACATGGTTTCACTTTTCCAAACCAAGGGATTTCTTCTGTAAACTGGTTAGTTCTTCTCTCACACCATTCGCTCACTCAAAAAGAAATAATGGGTAGGAATCATATTACTAAAAAAGTGATAGAAGGAAATATGATTCATAAGAAATAAGTATTAACACGTTTGATTGTACATAGGAATCTTTTCTCATATTCTCGAGAATATTAATTTACTGCGTTTGATTGGTACAAAGTAATGTAATGTATTTTTTTTTTAAAATAACTAATTTGAATTAATTTAATGCTAAAATCTTATTATTCTAAAAAAAATACAAAATCTTATAAGCTTAAGAAATGAATTTATAAGATGCCGTGCAAAAAAAATTAGCAAATTTTAAACATTAAAATTTAAATGAGAATAAGAATAAAAACCAATATTGAGTAAAAATAAAAATAAAAAACTCATGCGATTCCTTCTCTTTGAGTTCACTGTCACTCTTTCTCTCTCCTTTCAATCTCAAACTAGATCTTCAATCCAAAACTAAATATGGATGTCGCTCAATCCTCTCTCTCCTCTTTCTTTCTTTCTCTCTCCTTTCAATCTCAAACCAGTGGCGCTTCACACGGCGTGAAAATGTTTTGACGATAAGCGATGGTGAAAATGCTTCACACGGCGTCGCAGAGGAGGGCATGGGCTTCCCATGGATTTGCAGACATAGATCGTCGTTTGTACATGGCTTTCCGGCAAGGAGGCTGTACGACCACTGTTAGAGGCTGAGATAGGCGGCGCTTGCGACGGTGGGGGCTGGGACAGTGGGAGGCCCGCAATGGGTGCCATGATGGTGGGGGGCCCGCGAGCTGCGATGTTGGGGCCTGTGACTGTGGAGGCCTTTGAGATTTTCGGTGGTGAGAGGACAAACAGTGGTAGTTTTGATATTCTTTAGATTGCCGCATTTAGTTGTATTCCCGGGCATCTGAATATCAACCTATTGGGTGGTATTCAAATTACCCCAAGTTGCGGGAAAGTGAATCCTACGGTATTTATTTTTCTGAGAATCTAAAAATTAAAGTTCTTGTACCAAACATAGTAATCTTATAGATTCTCATTCTCATCCTCAAAATTACTGCATATCAAACGCCCTCTTAGAGGTATTCATCGTCTATCTCGTTATCGTTATAGAGCCAGAATGATAACGAGTATTGCTCTTGGATATCGCTGTTATAAAGGTCACCCTGGATTAGCACTACCAAGCCAAGGCCAACATTGTCATTCACAAGGTACGTATTTTAGTAAAAACTCTCATCATCTGTGTTAAACCAATTTTAATTTCTCATATTCAATGGTGATGTGGTCATGGCATGCAATACTCCAATCGTAATTCCAATGCTGCAGTCAGCCTCACCACATGATTTATTACATAATTCTTATGCATAGACGAATTTACGGTTACAAGTGCATCAAAACATACTAGAAAAAAAAACAGCGGAAAACGTTGTCCAATATAATTCAAATGTTGTATTTAACATTCAACATGGTGATGTCGCTGATGCGGAATTAATACTACATTACAAAAATTAAACTAACCGTCACCACATTTCAATATGATGAGTTCATACGAAACCTACATAACAGCCTATAACTTTTATTTTCTAGAATGGTAATACGTTTCATTCATGCATTTCATATGGATGCTATATAAACTATCAAAAGACCTGTCACTAATTTGTATGGTCAAGCTTACAACTATTGTTAAATTACCATTTCAGATTTATGGACTTTCTAATGATAAACATAAAAAAATTGATGAAATAAAAAGGCATAATAACATAGCATATATGGATCTTCAATTGTGTGGTTTTTCGCACTGATGACATTGAAGAAAAATCATCTCAATTCAAATTTATACATAAAATATATGCATTTTTAAAAGCAGAAATATTAATTGTCAAAAGAAAAAATAGAGGTATCGTAAGTAAATTGTTGAGATATTAAGGTATCGTTTATTTCACCGATTCGAGTTTTGTTATAGTAAAAAAATTTCAAAAATAATCACATCTAACTTTTTTATTACAATAAAAAATTCTCACATAAAATTTTATTTCAACTCGAATCAGCGAACTAAACGGGCCAAAAGAGCTTTACCAGTTGCGTTGTCGTCATCTTATAGATTTATGCCTAGTTTATTTCACCGATTCGAGTTTTCAGTTTTAGGTTTCTACAGTAAAAAGTTATTAGAAAATATCACATATAACTTTTTCTGCTACGGTAAAAAGCTCTCAAAAAATGTCACATCTAAACTCAAATTGAAAACTTAAATCCGCGAAGTGAACGAGATCTCAGTGAAGCAAACCGGTTTACCATCTGACACAAAATTATACTAGCCCCAGTACCCTACTCTCATATTCACCGTACTAATTAATCCGACGGCCCAGAGAAATGGCTGAAGTGAAACAACGAAATTGAGGAGATGGACAGTAGAAATCCCGAAAGTACATATATCAAATAAAATAATTATATTTATTCACGTGGGATTTTAAAGTATATAAGTATTAGATGATAATTAAGATGATTAGTGGGTTTTTAAATCCTTGGGTCCCTTTCTTTTTAAGTTGGTTTTGAAAAAGTGAGTTCTACCCAATAAGTTTGTGAGAATCAGTACGTATTAGAGCTAATCCACCGCGACGCAACTTTAAGTTGAAGTTTTATGAATTTAGATATACTAGTGAAGCCATCAAAGCGTTGAGTATTGATAGGCCGTGGACGAGTTCCGATTTATTGTTCCAATTTTCCTGTTATGTTGGCTTATTTCATCTAAATTTATAAATCTAACCACAAATAAAAATAAAATACTAAAATATTTAAGCAATTCACGAGATTTTCCATCGTAGTGGCTGTCACTCCACTATTTATTTGTCATGTCATCTAAATTTATGAATCTAACCAAATGAATAGGAACAAAATACTAAAATACTTAAACAATTCACGAGATGTCAAAATTTAATTGGAGGGATAACCACTGAGATAGAAAAATAGAACATAATGTTAAATACTTAATGTTTCACATGGAATAAATATAAAATGATTAGTGGTTTTACAATCGCTTGGGTCCCCTCCCCTTGTAAGTCAGTTTTATAAGGACGAGTTCTATCTAATGGTTTGTAATAATAAGATTATAATATAGATGTAATGTGCTAACAAAAACTATCGTTACACAAACGAGGTAGAAGTCTCTAAACCAGGACCCCACCCAAAATCGAAACTCTCTAAAACCGATCAGCTTTGCTTCTATCCAAAAAATGACCAAGAATCACAGATCGTTGGGTAAAATTGAGCTGATTATGAAAAAAAATGAGCTTCAGTGAGGTCTTGTATACTTGTTATTTTATTTTAAGGATAAAATCATATTGGTATCTCGTATTATAGCGAAACATACTTTTAGTATCATGTGTTTTTCTTATAACTTTAAAACGGTATCTCGACGATTTTAAAAATATATTTTTGGTATCTTAAAACTGATTTTTGAAACATTAAATTTCATAATTTTTTTCTAAATTTTTTTTGGTTAATTAAATAAAAGGATATTGTTGTGTGGAAAAATATGGGTGACATGTGGAATATCGATAGCGTGACACGTGGCCCTACTTTTCCTCAAAAGGCGACAACCCTCGACGCTTGAAGCTCGCTTCCTCGCTACGCTGCAAGGAAGGCCTGACTTAGGGCATCGACCCGGCATGCCGTCGACCAGTCATGCTGTCGATCTTATTACAACAAAATTCCTATGTCTGGAAAGGGTCGACTGCCAGGAAGGACATGTGGTCTACGCAGCGCAGACGACGAGGGAAATACTCTTCAGAAAGGAGCCTGACATCACAAGTTGCGTCTAGGGATGGGAGATGTTTGCAGTACATGCATTAATTGCAAACCCCTAAACCGCCCTACAGTGGACAGTGAAGGATTACATGAATCTACAGAGCCGTAATGAAAGACCAATTGGCTGAGTGAACAGTTCAAAAGGTAATTAGTGGGCTACGGTTTGGGCCTAGAGAGGTAGGTCACTCGAGTACTTCTACCTACAAAGGAGAACCGCCCACGAAGGAACCTTGAGCTATAAAAGGGGCAAACCCCCACACACGAGAGGGAGATTGGCTTCCTTAATATTCAATCAGAGGAAGAATAACGATACATGTAAATTGTAAGAGTCCAAAAAGAAATACAATACACAAGTGGATGTAGCTCTTCATTAAAAGAGTGAACCACTATAAATTTGTGTGTCCTCTCGCTCAAGCATTATTCTCGTGCTTTCAAAAATACAATAAACACTTCATAGCATAATCTCAAATATACAGTTAATTTCAAACTGGTAACCCAACGAGATACCAATGGGTAACCCGACGTATTTCTATTGACGAAATTTAGCCGTCAACAGATACTAAGGTCATTTTACTTCTCAAAATTAGTTTCAGGATACCAAGAAAATGTTTTTGAAAACGTCGAGGTACTATTTTAACATTATCAAAAACTCACGGTATTAAGAGTATGTTTTGGTAGAACACAGTGTACTAAAATGATTTTATTCCTTTATTTTAACTAATGTATTTTTGTTTCTCAGTTTAATAATTTTGAGTTTGAAATTTAGCGTGGGATGGAGTTTTTAGAGGATGTTAACTTAATAGGTAAGCTCAAGAGAATATTTAATGCTAGATATTACCTCTCATCAACTTTTTAAAAGAAAAAATAATCTTTGCTGGTTACTCTTATAGTTAGTTTTTGTGAGTTACCTCATTACTATTCCTAATTTGAAGGTAGTCTGCCCAATGAAAAGATCCATAAATAGAGAAGAATTATGTCCTGACCTTTGCTTGTTTGCTTTGCCATGTTGATGCCTGTGTTGTAGATATTAAACTTTTTATTATAGTATTTTCTCTTACAAAAATTTAAATTTAATTTTTTTATTACAATATTTTCTCTCGCATACTAAGGGTATGTTATTTTGTCTAAAAAACTCAAAAAAAAAAAAAACTCAAGTTTTAACTTTATTTAAGTTCACGTTCTTTTAAGGTTTAACTTTATTCAATTTTATTTAACTTTATTCAAGTTCTAACTTCAACTCAAGTTATAACTCAAATTCAACTCAAAAACTACACTTAAATTACACTCTAAAAGAACAACCCCTAAATTTAAGTTCATAACTCATGTTTTAAAAAAGAACATACATTACTTTTCTAGATAGCTTCTTTCATTAAACTAAACCTACCTGTACTGACTGATTCTTAAGTATTCTGTGATGTGTCTTTAAGAAGTGTGTTTTCTTCTCCATGTCATTTAAGTGCCTTTGCTATAGAAAAGGAAATACATGGGACCATTGTCGTTGAAGGTCTTTTTCTACATTGCCATTTCCTATTTTCTCACACTACGCAAACTACAGCAAATTTGGGGTGTCGGTGGATTACTTATGAATGGCTCCATTTCGCATAACTTTAACGTTTTTTTTTTTATTTTAATTAGTAGAGGAAGAGAATAAAAGCTGTGGTTTTTTTGGGTAAGTATTTAACATTACGTTGTAGAAAGAATTTAATGGATCAAAAAAATTTTATGACTTTTCTCCTTAGTAAAAATGTTGTAATGGTGTTTATAATTAATGTGTTACTGAAATTATGGTATAAGTTTCAAAGTTTATAGCTTTATTTGAGAAGTCATATTTTATGATTTTGATGGAAATGTTATTTTAGAGAGCCAAAATTCTTTTGACACATCATCAAAACATTTATTTTAAATCTGAAAATCATATCAAAGAGGCCATATATAGATAATTATTTTGGTATCCTTTATTTTATTGAAATATCTCTTTGTGTTTTTAATAATACTAAAATGGTACATTTACCTTTAAACAAACACTTTTTTAGTACCTGAGACCAATTTGTAGGACTTATAATGTCCAACATGCTCTTTTCATTAACTAAATAGAAATTAATAACTTTAAAAATATTTTCTAAAAAAGTTTAACTTATTCTAATTTTTTTAAATGTTAAATTATTATTAGAAAGAATTTCAAAAAATAATTATTTTATTGTTAATTAATTAGAGAGGTAGAATAGACATTTTAAATCTTAAAAATCAGTCTTACAATACCCAAAGAATGATTTTTTAAAAGTAAAAATATTGTTTTAATATTATTAAAAACACACGTGCACATGACAGATATTTTCCTTATATAAGTGCTTGCTGATTGGGCCACACCAATATGATCACAACACTTGTGTGGTGTGGACCGTAAGTTCCAACAATTTCTCAACCGGTTTATGATAAATGTGTCGCTTGCAACAACGCACTATACACTAAAACGCGATGTGCTGCACAAAAGCATACCAAAATTAGTGCATGAACACTAAAAATTAGTGCTTGCTGATTGGATGACGCTAAATCTCGTTCATTTTACCGATTTGAGTTTTCAGTTTTAGATTTTTACAGTAAAAAGTTCTCAAAAAATGTCACATCTAACTTTTTCTTCTACAGTGAAAAACTCTCTGAAAATGTCACATCTCAACTCGAATTAAAAATTCGAATCTACGAAGTGAACGAGGCATTTATGATTTCATAACAACAACAACAACAAAGCGTGTAGCTCTCAGTATCTTATGGTAATTGTGTCTAGTTTCACACCAATTTTAAATGTCCATATAACTCCATAAAATAATTATCAGCAAATTAATGAATGTTAATATTTTACAAGGTCCATCACCAACTCTTGGCAATAATTTCTCAAAAAAAAAAAAAAGAAGAAAAAACTCTTGCTAATAATTCTCATAAAATAAAATCACAAAACCCAATAGGCAATAAGCGAAGTTGCAACTAATAAAAAAACTAGTCCATTATGGATGCAATTCCCATCTCTCCCATTTAACAATTAGTTCTCGTTGTCATATACAGAGAAGCATCAAGGTATTCATTGGAAGTTGGAACAGACAAAACGGAAACGACAAAACCACCATTTTTCTTTAGGTTAGAGAAAATTTGTCTCCATAATAAGTGAACTAATACAAACCCAATTACCACACATGATCTTCCTACAAAATTATAGAAAAATCTCTTTATACAAAGAAAATCAAAATATTAAGCCGGGATTGGCGGTACAGCATGTGATATTAGTCAATAAGTCAACAAACAACTACTAATTGGAATAAAAAACTCCTTTCCTGCTTAATCCTTTAGTAATCCAGGAGGTTTTTCGATGAAAACAATGCAATTATTTTTCAAAACAAATAAAAATAATCAATGATGTGATAAATAAATCGTATATTTTTATCAACTACCAATTATAGGTTTTCCCTAACGTGCTTGGCAAGTGAGGCAAGCGCGACGTCAACGGCGTCGTCGAACCACAAGTCCGTCGCGTTCGGGTGTGCGTATGTTACCCTCGGGATCAGTTCCACCACTTTCTCTCTCATTCTCTCCACTCTCTCTCTAGGAATCCTCGCCAAAACATCCTCAATCCTCGTACTCTCCTCGCTCTTCTCGTCGATGAAAACCGAGTACTCTCTCTTGTCCTCCGGGAAAAACCACTTGTACTGCGTATAAGCCGTGTGCGGCGAGAAAAAAACCGGAATGCAGCCGGCCAGGACTGAGTCAAACGTGGACCGCCGGGTGAACGAGTCGCCCGGCGCTTGGAGGCAGAACACGGACCGGCTCATCACGCCTAAAACCTGACCCGGTTCGTGGCACTTGTAGTGGCCCGGACCGCATTGCAGAAGCTCGCACCGATTCGAACCGGCGCATTGACTTATAAGCCGGTCTCTTATGGCCGCTTTCTCCAGTCCATTTCTGGGCCCGCCGATGAATGAGAATAGATTGGGCCGCGAGGCCCGTTTAATGTTGTTTTGCCACGTAGACATCTCCTGCCACGTGGAGGGGTGGAAGTAGGAAGCGTAGGGGATCCCGTGCTGGTTAGCGCCTTTCCATGGGTTTCTCTCGACTGTCATCACCGACATGTTCGTCAACGTCGGTAAGTTTAGCAGACAATTAGCGCCGAAATCGGGAGCGTCATCGGAGCGCATGAAATCCCATGCGGTCCTCCCTAGGGCGATGAAGTGGTCCCTTCCGTCATTCTTCTTCCACCACGGCTGGCTTTGGACAAAGTCAGCCAATCTGACGGCTAGAGCGTCGCGGGCCGTCAGATTAAGCTCGCGGAACTTGCTCGAAGCGTGGAGGCCACCGTAGAAGGGGACGTAGAAGAGGGAGGCGCGTCGGGGATCGCGAGTGCGGCAGGGGTGATTCTCCACGCGCGCATGGAAGATCATCTCGGCGATGAACTGGTGGGTGGCGAACCAGCTGGGCCAGGTGGTCTCGGCCGGAGAGCCCAATGGAGAAATGGGCTGGCCCAGCCCGTTATTGGCGACGTGGGGACACATGTCGGTGTAGATGTTAAGGTGGCGGCAGTCTTCCACAAGGCCCACGTTGAACTCGGTCGGCATGTCGTACACGTAGACCGAGAAATTTGCTATATTACATGAAACTTTGGCTTTGTTAACGTCGATTTTGACGTTTCGGTTTGGTGGGAACCAGAAGAGAAGTACGAGAAACCAGACAAAGAGGAAGAGGAAGAAGAAGAGGGTGTATTTGTGAGTACTTTTGTTGTGTTTTTCTTTTTTCGTCCATGAAGACGGAAGGTTTTGTTTTCTGAAAAACATGGAAACAAAGAAGAAGAAGAAGAAGAAGAAGAAGAAGAAGAAGCAGACGAAGAAGAAGAAGAAATTAAGGTTAGTTTTGGAGATTTAATGGCGACGGTGGTTGAGTAGAAGAGTTTTTATCTGTGGTGTGTTTGGAAGAGGAAATTAAAGAGAGTCAGCAATATTTGGTGGAGGAGTTCAGAAAAGGCAAAAAGAACCAAAAGTGGGGACAATACTACGATTAGCAAACTTGTTGCGACCTTGACATAGAATTATTTCTCGCTTGTGCATTGACAATTTTGTCATTTCTAGGTGAATTGTTTTGCTTTTTTCTTTTCTCAAAAAATATATATTTTTTTAAAAATTTAAAGAAACGTGCTAATGATATTCCGTTCATTTCGCTGATTTGAGTTTAAAATTTAAATTGAGATGTGATTTTATGTGATAACTTTTTACTATAGTAAAAAAGTTAGATATAATTGTTTGTGAGAACTTTTTACTCTAGTAAAATTCGAATTTTAAACTCGAATAAGTAAAATGAATAAGGTCTTATATCACTAGCACGTTTCTTTAACGATATTCTATTGGTATTCGTTGAACTCGTGAGTTGTTTTCATTATATTGATTCTGTCAGTACTTAATTACACACAAAGAATAATAAAACAGGAATTTTTTTTTTTTTTTTTGACATTCAAAAGGGAAGTTCAACTACATGACAAAAGCGTATTCTTCTTTTTTCCAAAAAATAAAAAAATAAAAAAAAAACAGAAAAGAAAACGATCATTAAGCCAAAATTTGTAGCTAATAATTAGTTTGTTTTATTCATTGTACTTTTAAAAAATTGAATGTTTTGAGTTACTACTTCGTATAAAAAGTATTTACACGAAATGATCATTTGTTTTTGAACTACGGCAATTTTATTAAAGTGCCACTAAAAAAATTAGAATAAAATACAACATCAAGTTATACAAACGAGTGTCATTCACATAATTAAGCATTACAGACGCATTTTTAATCCGACAATGGAGAGTACTCCTCTAAATAGTAGCACTATAATAAGATTCGGTCACACGGAAACGACTCGAAATGAGCCAGATCCTAATTTCATAATGTACCTTAAACACACAACTCATACTAAGAGCGGTAAGGAAAGCACCCTCTAACTGAAGGAGACAACACATAGAGGTGGAAAAACTACCCTCTAGTTGGAATGACACATCAGTAGTGGGGAGACCGTCACCGTTATTACCACAAAGCTATTATCAAAAAGGAAAAAACTATACACGAATTCACAACCCACACAGGAGAGACTTGGTTGGAGATGGTCTGAGCACCACAAGCAAACAATTGTCCTGAGTCTATCCCTAAAATTTTCGGAGCTAACAGCTGGCAAACACCATCGAAAGATCACGAAAACCTCCTACCTTCATGGTCCAGATCTGACGAGATGTTGCCTCCCCTAGATTTACGAAGCCCATCACTTTATAGATCGCCTCACTGCGAGGTTAAGGATGAGATTTTTGTGGCGAGAGGCCAGGCGACGTGCCGGACCCCGCCAGAAATTTTTGGCCAGAAGAAAGTTTTTAGAGAGGAGGAAACGAGGTAGAGAGAAAGAAAATTTTCTTTGTTTGTACGAAATGATCATTTTTACCTTCTATATTTAGGATATATCTTTAATTTAATAAATATTATTAATTTGTCCATTTTAGTGGTTACTGATATATTATAATTTTAAATACACCTTTTTTCGGTAGTCGTGAATTTGTATAACTGATTTTAAAAGGTAGTTAACTAAGGATAAAAATGTCATTACATATTATTTTTATATGCAAATATTACAACTTGTGGACATTTTTTTTTTTTTTTTTCAATTCATCGTAAAATAAACATATATGTAATTAACATCTTCGTATAAAGAGGAAATGGCTTAGCGTATCGCATTTTCCTTTAGTTCCTTTATCTTTATAAAAAGGAAAATTCTTACACATCATAAAGGGACACACTACTTTTAAGCGATGCATTATATGGCCCAAGCTATTCGATCGGCATATTTTTCACAAAAGAATTTTCTTCCCTAAAAAAAAAAAAAAAAAAAAAAAAAACATTCTTTAGAAAAGAAGAAGAAGAAGAAGAAAAGAAGAATTTTCCTTCCATGAAATAATTCTTTCCTAGTTCGGTTATATTTTAATACTACGATATTGTTATGCCTGCCTGCCTTATAAAGATTATTAAAATAAATAAATCCGTGAAAAGTGGGAATTAACGTGGAAGGAGCAACTGACCTGAAGGGCAATTTTGTCCTCAAACTATATCACGTGGAAAAAAATATGAAATGCAGCTATCTATAGCGGAAAAGCGTCTAAATTCAAACAGCAATTTGACAATAAAAGGTCACCAAACAACTCGAATGAGACAAAAGTAGACGACTTAAAGCACATGCAGCTTCTACGTGGCACAATTTCAAAGACTTCAGTTACCAAATCAACATTTAAAGAAACAAAATTGTGGAAGAAAAGATTAGCCAATATATATATATATATATATATATATATATATTGTGGAAGAAAAAATACTTATGACAACACAATAACAAAAGAAAATCCCCATAATAAAATAATTAATAGAAAAAGAGAACTTTTTTGTTTTTGCTTGTAATAGAAAAAGAGAACTCACATGAACGTGTTGAATATTCTACAAGCCATGCCATGCAACTCATCACTCATTGGGTAATAATAATTTATAGAAATAGAAAACAACTGGTGTATGTCTATTTTTATTTATTTATTTCCCCTTGAACTTTTATATGGCCAATCCTTTTCATTTTCTTTGTGATCGGTTGTTCAAACACAAAAGAATTTCAAATTATTGTATTTCTTTTTAAAGGGTAGTACTGCTAATGTTTTTGTATATATTCGATTTGAACTGCCACGAGCTTAAAAAAAAAAGGGGAAAACAAATGAAGTTTCAATAAGCCAATTATTTGTAAAATGTCCTATGAGCTGCAAGTTTATGTCGAAAAAGGGAAAGAAAAACATTATGCATTATCTTTTTCCATTTATAAATTTTGGTGGATCTGTAGAACCAGCTGTTCTGCTCAGTGATAATTCTTTGCTTTTTTAAAATGCGAAGGATATTTGCTTACAAAACTATACTCAAGGAATCATGATCTTCCGATAGTAAAGTGGAATGGTAGGTGTTGGCAGTGGAATTTTGTCAACAGAATTGCGCCGGGTTACTTCTTTAGTATCCTGTAAGGTTACCGGCCTAATACGGATGTATATTCGAAATTACGTTTGCGAAGTGCTTGAGTAAGCTTTGTAGTGAATGTAATGCCTAAATAAAATGGACACACGAGATTTATAGTGGTTTACTCTATTAATGAAGAGCTACATCCACTGTATCTTTTTGTATATATTATTATGTTCTCCGATTACATGTGTAAAAAAGGAAAAAACCCCCTTTGAGCTTGGGGCTTTGCCCTTCTTTTATAGCCCAAGTTTACTTCCAGAGGTGGTTTTCCTCTGTGGACCCAGCACTCGAGTGCCTACTATCTCATGGGCCTAGACCCATAGCCAACTAATTACCTTTTGGACTGTTCATTCACCTTAATTAGTCCTATATTACGGCTCTGCACTCCCTGCAATCTTCCACCGTCATAATTAATGCATGTTAACAAGCTCTAGGGTTTCCAATTTCACCAAACCATTCCGCCTTAAATTATCTATCTAATCAATCTTAAATTATTCTCCTTAATTGACAGTCAAAAATCCATAAATTAATCGATGCTCCCTTCCGAGTTACATCAAAAATCCCCTTAATTGCTAACCCACTATATTCCTATGTGAATTTCAAACAATTAAAGAGTCATTAAGTTTTATGGATTTCCATGTAGCAACCACACCAACCATGCAAGTATATCCCTATCTTACATGCAATCAATGGAATTCAACACAATGATCGAAAAACATAAATCTCCTTCTGGTTTCATTATGAATTAACTAATCATCTAATTAGTGGCCAATTAATTAGAAGCATTAAGAATAGTGATGAAAACTCAACTAGGAAGAATAATTCTTCGATTCATATGATAACATAATTCAAAACATCATGATCCGGCTACATCGTAGCCCTAGAATAGGAAACTTAGAACATAATGAAAAGAGAAAACATCTTAACAATATTCTTAAACATGAGAAGAGAAGAAGGAGAAACTATTTTGACGAATTGAAGCAGAATTCTATTCCCGGTTGATTCGTCTTCTCCTCTGTAATAGAAAAGTTCTCCTTTCTCTTTTCTAAGTCTCAGCATCAATTAAAAAATTAATTAATTAAATATTTTATTTTTTAAAATAAAAATTTTATTTTTTTAAAATATAATAATATTTATAATTATATAAATATTATATTAATATAATATATTAATTATGTTGGGACCGATGTCTCTTGGGCGCAGATTGATGCAACGCTGAACATGCCTTCGCGCTTCTCCGCCCTCTTTCAAGCTATGTATGAGTCTTTCTTTGATGAGAACTGGGAGAGTGCTTCTCGCCTTCCTTTGGTTGAGCTTGCTCGTCAGCAAATCTCCTCCGCTATCCATGTAAGTCCCCTTTTTGTTGGTGGGTTATACCTGCGTATATACGTGTATTTCCCTAACAGCTTCCCCACTTTTGGCAGTCCCTCTCTCTCTCCATCCTTAATTATCTTGAGATGGTCGCGATTGATGAGAATAGTAGGACGATGGATCAGCTTGAGGGGCGACTGAAGGCTCTCCTTAAGAAGGCGAGGGATGATAAGGCTGAAGTTTCTGAGAAGCTCGCCCTTGCCGTTAAGGAGCTTGAGGTGGCGAAGGCTAAACTAGAGACAACTCAGAAGGAGATTGCTTCTGTTCGCCAAGAGGCTGCTAACGCCAAAGAAGCCCTTCGCAATGAGGGATATAATCTTGGTAAGTAGGAAAGCTATGATTTGGGAAAGAATGAGGGGGTCGAGGAGTTCCTGGCTTCTGCGGACTATGCTAAAAAAAGT